CTCTCTCTCTCTCTCTCTCTCTCTCTCTCACACACACACACACACACACACACACACACACACACACACACACACACACACACGGAGGATTCCCGCATCCGCCTATTACTATGAGCTGCCACCAAGGATTCGATATTGCTGCACTGGGGCTCATGCCAGCAACTTGGCTGCCAGGTGCGGCTTTCCAACTCCCAGACAGCCCCCCCTTCCCAGGCCCCCACTGCACCTGCTCCTGAATGAGGCCAACTCCCAGCCAAGCCCAGGGCACGTCGGCTACACTAAGCTTTGGATTTTTCTTGCCTGCCTTGGAGATGTTTGGAGGGGAGGCGGCACCGTGCATCTTGGAACAAGTCTGCTTCTGCTAATGCAAATGTAGTCTTGGTTAATGCAGACAGACTGTCAACTTCAGCAGTCAGGAGGAGAAGGAGGAAGGGGGGATAATTTCCCATCTCAGAGATCAATGGAGAATTTCAATAGAATGCTTCGACTTCGGAAATGAGATCGTTTTGAGCAAACGGAGGCTTCCCACCTTGCCAGGCATCTAGGCAGCCCCCATGTGCTGCAGGTATGTCTCTGAGTGTTATGAGGACTCATTGGGTGGACCCTGGTGGCCTGGGTGGCAAGGGTGAGGGAATTTGGGATTTGATGAAACCCTACCTACCCACCCTCTTTGGTCTGAGTGCCTTTGGTAGTCTCTTTTAAAGGAACGGCTAGTCTGAGGGGCTGAATGAGGGCTAGGAGGGACCAATCCCTCCCTGGACTGTGTGTGTTTGTAGGTTGGGCTCCAGTTGGCATTTCTGTAGGTTGCTATGAGAGAAAGTGTGTGTGTGTGTGTGTGTGTGTGTGGTGTGTGTGTGCGCGCGCATGCCTGTTTTAGTAGGTATGTTTACTTTTGCTGTAAAACTGACCTGAGGACAGATGGTTCAGTGGCTGTAAGTCTTTTGTATTTCTTTTGGGGACCAGTATTATTAACTATTCTATTAAGGAATTCAGCATTAAAATATCTATCGTTTTGTCAAGTCCGACTATTTTCTGGACAGTGGAGTAGGTTTTGAGTTCTCTGGGAATATTCAGGAGGATCTGTATGAACTGTCTCCCAATTTACAGATAGGGAAACTAAGTCTCTGGTTCTGGGGAAACGTATATGCTTCCAACTACAGACAAAAGACATCCAGGACTTTTCCCCCTGTTCTGCTGGCAGAATGCTAAGGGAGGGGTTCTGGTCAGTCTTTGCTCACTGAGCTGGCAGTGCCACATGGGCAATGGACCCCAGCTAGCTCTTTCTTACCTTCAGGGACATGATGCCCACTTCTCTACACAGCATGCATAGAGCCATTTCCAAATGTGTGTTGTGTTGATTCTCTATGTTCTGATCTGATTATTACCTCCTAGAGAGCAGGATACAATCGGTAGTGAGGACCATCCTAACTGGTCCTGCATCTGGCACAGTGTAAATGGCTGGTCTGTTCTCAGGGGTACAGCCAACAGGTGCTGGTGTTAGATACTCACGCCGTGCAACCTGTGTGATGCAGTGATTTCCTGGGTTTAGGGTCTCAGAAGCGACCCCAGATGAAATGAGGCTCATGAAGCCTGAGGACATTCTAGGAGAGGGGACAGCATATATCACACCCCTCAGCATTAACTAAGGAAGACTGAAGACATGGAACTGCTCTGGTCATGCAAGGTGACTAGGGAGGGCATAGCAAGGAATAAATTTAGATCCCATTAAACACGTTTCTGGGGCCACTGTCGGGACACAGCTCTGACTGCCAGAGAGGGGCTTGGCTTGTAGACTGAGAGAAGGTAAGGTGAATCTACTGTGACTGAGCCTGAGAGCAGAGGTGCACCGGATGATAGTAGTGGGTGTGCGGATTTGAGTGGGGACCACTGTGAGCTAAAGGTGAGGGACTGGAGGCATCCAAATTGAGATGTTTAGCAGTCTCTTGTTTCTGGCAGGAGTCTGGGGTCAAGCACGGGTTGGGGGTTGCTGAATGAACAGCAGGGCTGGAGGTGTACTTCCCATCAACAGGGACTGAGACACAGAGAGCTGAACTCTGGCTTCCTATCAACCACTGCTTCACCATCCCTGTCCTCTAGGTAGGCAGTGTCCGGGTGTGCTCATCAGACACAAGGTCCTAAGATAACACTAGAGCTCTGTTAAAAGGAACTGAGTGACCAATGGGCAGTGTACCAAGGCCTTGCTCCCTGTAGGGTGGAGCTGCAGAAGTACAGACATGCACACTGACTTCCCTGCTCTGGCCACCTCCAAGGCCATACCTCCCCAGCAGTGCTGGGTTAGTGGTGAGCCTCCTGCGGTATGTCACCGTGTTCCTTTGTGACTGAACAAAGGGAACTTTGCCCTGAATCCAAATGCAGTATCAAGGAAGGATTCTGGCCCTGTAGTCTGTCAGCAGTGACAGGAAGTTCCCCAAACACCACTGAGACGGAGCTAGGAAGGGCAAGACCAAGGCAGCCACACAGCCTAGCAGCCGTCTTATGATTGACAAGCATCATCGAGAATCGTGAACTGGGCTGTGCTCTGACCCATCACAGTCCAAATTGACTAGCAGGAAGTCTGGCTAATTTCATCACTAGTTGGGGGAACTTCCATTGCTTGGAGGTAGTGTAGAAAACACCTGCCAGGGTGGCTCTTACCCCCACCCCATGCTCCCTGTCTTAGACGAACCCTAAGCTGAGACTCTGAAAGTAGCCTTCCTCTCTTTCATGACAGAGAGATGGGGTGAGTGTTCTGCACACATTTCCAGATCCAGCAGCATGAGGATGGGGCCGCCTGCCCAAAGATCACGTGTCCTCTCTCACAAGGAAGCATTGCATGTGAGATTGCAAGGAAAAGGTTATAATCCATGTAACTCATTATGTGGAGAAGGCAATGGTGTAGATTAAGCTATTCTGTTTCACCCTTCCTGTGGAAGCCAATGTTAACTGCTTGGTTTTATCTGTCCGCACCATGATCCTTTCATGTAGAAATACACAAATATGTACATTTACATACATGCATATACTTGCTTCTTAAACAAGAGTGCTAACTCAACTCCATGTCTCTCTACGTCTTTGTTTTCTCCTTTGCTGTCCATCAGAGGCATTCCTCAAGCCAGCAGAGAGATCAGGCTCGGATTTTTAGCAGCTGCATAATATTTAGAAGTGAGAGTGTATCTTAATTTAGCCAACCATTTCCCTGTCAAGGGACATCTGGATTTCTTCCCAAGTTTTTTTTTTTTTGCTACAATAATTAACGCTCTGATAGACGTCCTTGTACACACATTGTGAGAGAGCTGTGTTTTTGCTCATGATGAGGTATCCCTGAGGCTGGGAACACCCAGGTCAGCTTACTCTTAGCTCTTCACAGGGATTGATTCCCAGCTGCCGCTTGTGGGCATATCCATATTAGTCACCTTTGGTGGATTCTTAGTTCTGAACCCAGCTTCTGCCATCTTTACCTCTAGGCTTCTGCAGCATTGGATAACAGTCCTCTGCTAGCCAGAGAAGTCAGTCAGTCAGTCGTTCTTGACCTAGTATGCCAGCAGAAGGGTACAGAGGCCCCACCCTGCCTCCCTTCACCTACCTTCACAGCCTTTGCCCTGTTGATAATTCCGTCGTCCTGAGAACCCCCTATGAGTAGATCCACCTTTGCTGGCAGAGGCCTCTTCAACGCTCTGGCTGGAACTTCACGTAGGTATTGGCCATCGACAACAGGACCCCAGTAGTGGAAAGGGCCACTAACAGCCAGGAGCTGCAGGGTGAGGAAGAAGGCCATTACTTGCCTGTGTTTTACTTTCCTTTTTAAAAAGCAGGCAATCCCAGTCTGGGCTGTGCAGCTGAAGCTGGCCATTGTAGCAAAGAGCTAATGGGTCTGAACAGGGACAGAGACCAAAAAGACCTCTGTGAAGGGAACTCTGAAAGATAGAACCGTGTCTTTCTCTACCTTCAGAGCCCCATAATTCTGTCTCACAGTGCATTCAAGTGACCGTCCATTATATACCCATTAGATTGCTTTGCTTAGTGGGGTCTTAATCACGGATGTCCATGCTCCAAATCCAAGGAGCTCCAATAGAAAGCAAGGGTAAAATAAACGTGACAACAGGCAAGAAGAACAGCCTGTGACATTGCCAGTAGCTGGGTTGCAAATCTCCCCTCAGCAATGCTTGACCTCCCGGAGCCCCTCACAGAGCCCGTCTGATGAAGTAACTAGAGGTTTTCAGGATGAACAGGAATAAGGGGAAGGCCTTAAAGAAAAGTTGATGGCTCTAATGAGTGACACTAGCCAGCACAACCCACATAGGTGAGGCTGAGGAAAAGACTTGGTTCAGGCCTCAGGGTCCAAACTCACACTTCTGAGGATATGAGGACCAAGTCTGCTCATGTCTCCTTCACCAATGTCAGGGGCAGCCAGAAACCCAGGCTGAGAACAAGGTCTTTCCAGCTAGAAAGGGATGCCTAGCTGTCTGTCTAAGGGGCTGTGATCTCACATTGTGCTTATTTGTCCCTAGCATGAGGTTTGCCCCTTCTCAAGTGCTATTGCATTTTGCCTCTCAACTCTAGGTGTCCATCATAGTTCCCAGTCTGTACATAAAACACCCAAATGACAGAGAGACCTGTTTCCCATCAGTAGCCTTGTGTGTTCCATCACAGCCTGCAGCTCCTACATGGACTGGGACTCAGGAGACAAATTCATCTTTAGTTGACCATCCACTGGACATGTAGCTTGGGTGGCAAGGATCATTGCACCCCCTTGTTAGGCCTTGGTCTTCCATTTGTAAAGACAAAAGTTTGTCCCTCCCCACCTTGCATGCACACCAGTGCCCACCTTGGTCTGAGCATCATTGAGGATGTTGGCAGGTTTCTGGCGGAGGCAGGACACCACTTCTTGGACCGATGTGGTAGGACAGCCAACCTCCTTTGCCAAGGCCACAGCTTGCTGTCGGGCCCTGTCTGGGCTGATGACCGCAGCTGGGGACAGTGCGGAACCTCCCTGGAAAAAAGAATGGGGGTTGGGCTGACAGTCTGCATGGCTTTGGCTGCTAGTTAGGCTGGGGACCCTCAGGCCTTAGCAGTGTTCTGTACCCTTGTCCATACATGTTAGATCCTTGGAGATCTAACATGTATGGGTGTCAGGGATGACCAGCATGTAGCAGCATGCTATGTGAAAAACTTGGTTTCCTTATCTGTGAAAGGAGAATACCAGATAAGTTCATCTCCAGGCTCACTGTGCAGCTGAAGAAGTATACAGAGGCAAAGGATGATGGTTCTGAACAGGGACCAGAAGGGCTTCTGGTAAGAGAAGTTGAAGATACAACTGCATCCACCTCTACCCCCAGGGAGCTCCTTAAGCAGCAAGGTTTCCCGACTCTAAGATGTAGCTGACTATGAAAATATATCCTTCCCCTCCCCCACAGAAGATACCATCATTTCATGTAAGAGAAGAGATATCCTAGGTATAGAAAAGTGGGTGCCTACTTAGATATGCAACCAGACAAGAGAGCCTAGAACTCAGTGATCTTGGCAATGAACCTCTGTAGGCTCCGTAGTGTGAGTCCTTCACCCTTTGGGTTATTTTCCTAACTCAATTTTTTTCAGCTTCTCTGAGAATCCGACTGTTAATACGAGGCACATCAGGGACCTAAGCACAATGGTCAAGTGCTCAGTCACTGCGAGGCAGGCTCTCACACATACCTGGAGGCTCTTGATGGGAGAGTGCTATACCTATTCCGTATCGATGTCTAGTTGTTAGGTCTTGGAGGGACCTGTGACCAGAGCCTGAGACCAGGCCAGCAGTGAGAAACTCATTGAAGGAACAAGAAAGTCCACAGGATGAGCGGGAGAAGGACTGTAAACCCAGGAGCTATACATAGACTGATGACCAGAGCCCTTCCCAACATCTCTGAACTGTACAGATAAGGCCCGAGAGCCTGGGCTGCAGAACCGAGATAGTGTGAGACAGCAGAAAGGGGTTCTGTGCTTTATATACTAAACTCTGCCTGCTGGTACCTCCTGCAAGATGTGCAGACCAGATCCTCTGAGCATCAGCATCTATGAACAAGAGAGAATTTACCAGGCTCATCATGAGAATCAACAGCAGTGCAGGTCAAACATGCAGCCAGCCAGGACCAGGTGGGCAGTGATCTTGGCAATGAACCACAGTGGGCAACTTATTTTGAGTGTGAGCCTTACACCCTCAATTTATTTCTGTAACACCAAGTGGCCAGCTTTTCTGAGAAACTGCTCAATACGTTCTTGTAACGGAATGGCACTCCCACCAGACGTGTTCCCGCTGCAGCCCCGCATTCTGCGCTGCAAAGCGTGGGGATGGGAGGTGATGACAAGCGGACCCAGCTTTGCCTATGGGAATGCCTGAAGACATGAGGATTTCAGGGTGGGCCTCGGATGTTTTCAGTTTTATTTCTTTCTCTTTTTTTGCCGGCTATAAATAGCCGGGGTTCTTGATATGGGGAGGAAGTGGGTAAAGGCGTGGGCTTCGCTGACACTGTGAGATAGCTTAGAAAACTTTCCTCTCTCTTTCTGTTGTAACCAATCTTTCTGAAGGAAACCGTGTTCTTGGTGGAAAATCAGCAGTTAAACAAGCTGCCCTCATTGGGGGGCGTTTGTTAGGACTCAGGAGTGGTGGTCCCTGCTAAGCAGAGTTTAGGAAAAGAGCCTGAGCCTAGCGGGAAAGGGAGCAGGCTGGAATTCCAACTCCATCACTCTGATTGAGTCATCCTGAAATTGTGACTTTAGCTGGTAAGGCAACAGAGGCACAATTTGATTTTCTGCAACAGTCTTGCTACCCCAGGTATACGCTGATGGCTCTGCCTTAGAGGTCAATGTTCTCATGCAGGAAGGCGGGAAAGGAGTCCCCAAGAGGCCTGCTCTACTTTCTTTCTAGAGTCCCCACACTCCTCAGTTTTCCATCACTCTCCAGTGCTCCTGTATCCTCACTGTGAGGTAGGAAGTCCTCAGGGAAGGAGAAGGTGGGAAACCCACACCCACCTCCTCAACAGTGAGCACCCAGGCTTGTATGGGCTATGGCAGGCTCAGCTCAGGGACCGACGACAAATGCAAGAGGCAGGCAGTGATTAGCTTTGCTTCCATCTTCAGCACAACCCAGGAATTCTGATTCTAGAGGTGCCAGGCAGCAGGAAGAAGTGAAGCTGTGCACCTCCTGTCTCATAGCTGGGAAGAAACAGACATGAGGTCCATCTCAGGCAGCCACGCGGCCTTCCACACTCTACCGGCCATGCATTAGCAGGTTATCTGTGGCCGTTGGTCCCTGCCTGTCTCCATGAGAAGGTGGAGCCAACAACACCCACTAGAAAAGCCCTGCCTATAGAAACAGACAGACTGAGGTTTTGGTTTCAGTGTTGCCTGCTGATTTGTAAGTTCCCCTGTCTTCTCATGGAAGGGGATCAACAGTTCCAAAGAAGACAGAAGACACCCCACACGAGTAATCGGCTCTCAGTGACAGTAAATGCCAGTTATCATTGGGAGTGGTATTAACCATTGGTGTCTTTTCCCATGTGTTATTCCTGCTGGGAGGAAGCAGATATACAACTCCACAGCCCCACTGCACCGCAGCACCCTGAGGAGTGCCCTCACCCCCAGCTCCCATGGAGTTATGGACTACAGTGAATTCAACCACTCAGCTACTAAAGAGAGATCAACCTAAGTATATTTTGACTCTGTCTGATTTTTATGTAGAGTCTTATGCCTTACGTCCCCCAAAAGTGGTCAGATCCACAGTTTTCAAAGTACGGACTGTGCTTAGCAGTCTACACATCAGAGTGACCTCAAGACAAGACCTCTGTGATTGCAATCAGAGAAAAAGCCTAGAATTCTTTTGCATTGAGAACTCTAAGAAGCAGGTGTGGGGCTCCAGTATGCCTACAGAGGAGAGGCAGAACTTGAGAGGACTGACTTTGATGGGAGAAAATGAGTGTAAGGGGGCACTCCAGGTCCCTGGGGGAGTGGGGAGAATGGCAGGTAGGTTGGGAATGTCGAAGACAACACAGCTGTGGTCTCTAGATTCCAGCATCCCCGTAAAGAGCTCTATATGTATTACAGGAGGGAGCCAACACACAGAAGTATGGGGATACAGTTGGGCTTTCTAGGATGAGGAGAGGAATCTGCATAGAAGATACTGGGAAGTAAGGTCAGGGGACAATCACAGCCAGGTGAGAGGCAGCACTTTGAGGATGTGAACCCTAGGGTACAGGGCATGCTTCTACAACTGTAGGAAGTCCATGGGGGCTTAATCTTGTCCAATAATGGACAGATTATTGTTAAGTATTTAGTAATATCACTGCTGACATTTGTCCATGGTCAGGCTGAAGTAGTTTGAGCACACATTAAGCAGACCCTTGAGCAATGACTGATTATGAGTGCCTCCAGAGTGTGGACTACTGAGGGCAGAGTAGGGAAGTGATTTTTCCATCACTGGCTAGAGTCATAAGTTCATCACCATTTTCCTATAGACATGGAGGGCAGAAGGGAACTGGGGCAAAGGAGAGGGTGTGGCTTGGCCTCTTCATTGTTGGAGGAGCGAGGAATGTCAGCTGAGGCAGGAGCCCAGCCCAGACTATGGTCCAGGGATTCTGGATGTAGAACAGAGCCAGAGTGCATGTACCCTGCTCTGTACCCTGCCTTTTCTGGAAATGCATCCAAGTCTAAGCCTGCCACTGAGTCCCATGGATGCTGGCATCAGAAAATGCTTCTAAGAGACTAGAAGAACCTATAGACAGACCTGGAATCTCCAGAAAAGGGACTTTAAAAATGGCTGCCATCCAAGTCTGTGCTAATGTTCTCTTGCATACCCTTAGCTCCAAGTCATCTCTTTGCTTGATCCCCGAGCCTGTGAGTTTTCCTGAAGTCTGTAGCACAGTTTTGGCAAATCCTAACACAAGTGATGACAACAGATAGTACAACTTTCATCTTGAAACTACACCCTATGGGGAACAACTCACTTCTCTTTTCTTCTTCATTGAAATTGCTGGTTCTTGGTTTTAGTTAGCAGAAGCTATAGAACTGGGGTGAGAAGAGCCAAGGTGTTGCTTGCTCTTGCTTAGTATCCTTGGCCTGCTGGATGGGAGGGGCCTACTTTGGCCCTCCTAACAGGAATTAAGTGCAAGTCACAGCCAAGGGGTACTTTTTGTAGGTAGAATTTGAAGATGACTGATGTGTATGTGTACATGGGTTTGCACACATGCATGCGCTTACAGGGAAAGTGAAAGGCATTCAGTCTTCAAATGTGCTCTCTTAAGAGCTGGGGCTCTGAATTTATGTGTGTTTTTATCTGGTGATCTCCACAACAACCCTCTACATATTAGCAACCTTCCCACCTCCCACCCCCATTTTACAGATGGAGCGATCACAGTGCTGAATGAGGAGGTAGGGTATATGAGATCTCGAGGCTTGTAATAACAGCCAAAACTATAAAGCTTTTAGTTTCCCCCACACTCTACTGCTACCCTCTGAGAACAGTCCCAGCCTAGCACAGCACATCACATCATGGATTTTCTTTCTCCACTCATAAGTGGCTGGCTGGTGGCAGTCAATAAGGAAGAGGCTTACATGGGTGACCAGAGAACAGGGTGATATGTCATCTTTCTTCTCCCATGGGGGTTGGGAGTGCCTGGTGGAGGTGAGTTTCACACAGGGTTCTGAAAATGAGGTGTCATGTCTGCAGACTGGGAAGGCCTCAGCTACACACATTGTCCACAGGTATTCAACAAGTATCCTGTCCCATGTTTACAACCTCTGCATTCTGCACTGTACAGACCCACCAACTATAGAGCCGATTCTCATTATGCTAGAATAGGCTTAGAAGAGGAACACACACTACTTATTTCGATGCTTTTCTATGCGTGCCCCCCCCACTTCATCCTAGCATTTCTGTAGGCATAAGTAGAGTGTCAAAGAGGTTTGATAGCTTCTGGTACCCAGTAGAAGAGGCTGAGATCCAAGGATTCTGATTCCAGT